TGACGTCTTTGCGCGGCTGAAACACTGATTGAGAGATTACATGAGACAGGATACGGATTGTAAAGTTGTACTCTTTCTTTTAACTTGCCTTCGGATGTTTAGTCATGTTTATGTCGTGCTGAAGCTGGTATTAAAGTGGAGGAGATGATCAGTTCACTAAGACGCTACAGCGATCTGTCACTCCACATTAAACCGCGCCAAAACGGCATTTATTGTAATACTGCAATACAATGTACAGAATTTGAAATCTGATACTTTGTTTCATATTAAAAGTACCAACGCACAATGCTTATTGAGATATATTGGATGGGAAGCGCCCTTCAACGTTCCGTCCATTAACTGAAAACAGGCTAGACTAATAGATTCCTGGGATTTAAGAATCAATATCGTTCCGTAAAAATGAGAATCGATTATTATCGAGATATCGATATGTTTTACCCAGCCCTATTACAGAGTGACATGAAAGTTCTCTTGTCATTTATTCACTCTGGTTTTTGGTTTAATCTAGTGTTTGTGTTCTCCTCTAAGAGAGACGGTTGGTATCTTTGTCCGATTGGCACAATCCTCCACGCAAAGGACAAAAGTTCTTCATAACGCAATAGATGCCATGTGGAGAAGCGTATGGTTTCAGCACGGCACTCCCAGCGCGCTGATTGAGAGAATATGAGTGTTATGACTAAATCCAGCCGGGACGTATCTGCTCATCAAAGACTAAAACCACATGCTTTCTTTTTTGTGACTTTGAATAGCGAGTGAAACGTCCTGCCCCCAGTGTTTGTGCTTCGTAATTTATTACTCAATTGTTTGACATTCTGTGTTGATTTGAGTGTGAGTTTATCCTGTTTTTTGGCACAAAGGTGCAGCGAGAAGTAGGATTTGCTCTGAAGTTTGAGGAGGCCTTTTGCGTCTGTCACCGGCCACAGTTTCATTTACTGAGTACCTGAAACTGAGAATAAGTGAGATATTTTTAACAGCAGAACTTGTGTTAAAAATACAGAGAAATGCAAAGAGTTTTCATGCATAGGAAAGAAAAATCATCTTCATGTGCAGCGAAGAAAATTTCAGCCTCTTGACAACATTCAGCAGACGAGTTCATGTTTTTCCTTTGACTCATCATTGAGGCCAAACAGCTGATTGAAAATGTTCAATGCAAGAAGCAAAATACTGTAAAAAGCAATAAAGTTTTTGCTAAATGAACACTAAGAGAAATCCATAGGAAATTTTAACTTGTCAAATTATTTATATAAATTTTCACAGCATTTCTTGATTTTATATCACATATTGTAAATATTCAATATACCGCCCATCCCTAAATAACAAAGCCGATATTATGTACTCTAAGGCTTTTGAAATGCAGACTAAATTAAAATAACCAGAGATATGCTTATGAGTGAGAACTAGTAATAATTCATGTTTTTTGTTATGTTTTCACATTTGTGGATGTTTTTGCCTGGCATTTTACATGCTTTAAAATTATTTATGGTAAATATTGTTGTTTATAGTCCAGGGATTCCTAAATGTTTTTTTGTCAGCTGAATCTTTTGACCTTAAATATTTACTTTAATATTTTTATCATTTAGGCCACACAGCCGTTATTGCAATACTGATTGAAAATATTCAATGCAATACTGTAATTTTTTTGTTCAGTTTTTGCTAAATGAAGCCTAAGAGAAATCCATAGGAAATTTTAACTTGTCAAATGAACAGCTTATATCAATGTTCACTGTGTTTCTTGATTTTATATCACTAAATTCATCACACATATTGTATATATGCAATATACCGACCATCCCTAAATAAGAAGACCAATACGATATACTCTAAGACTTTTGATATGCAGACTAAATAAAAATAACCTGAGATATGCATATGAATGAGAACTAATAATAAATCGTGGGGTTTTTTTTGTCATTTTTTTCACATTTGTGGATGTTTTTGCCTGGCATATTACATGCTTTAAAATATTTTTGGTAAATATTGTTGTTTACAGTCCAGGGATTCCTAAACATTTTTTTTTTTTTTAAGTCTCTGTTTATGTATTTGCTTTGAAATGACTTAAATTTTTATTTTGACTGATTGAATATGTTCAATGCAAGAATCAAAATACTGTAAAAAAAAATTTAAAAAAATAAAACTTTTTTTTTTGGGTTCAGTTTTTGCTGAATGAACACTAAAGGAAATTTTAACTTGTCAAATTAACAGCTTACAATGGCTTTAACTGCATTTCTTGTTTTTCTGTCACCTAAATCTTTGCACATATTGTATATGTGACCCTGGAGCACAAAAGCAGTGTTAAGTCGCTGGGGTATATTTGTAGCAATAGCCAACAATACATTGTATGGGTCAAAATTATTCTTTTATTAATATTAATTTTTCTTTCATGCCAAAAATCATTAGGATATTAAATAAAGATCATGTTTCTGAATATTTTGATTTTTTTGCACCCTCAGATTCCAGATTTTCAAATAGTTGTATCTCAACCAAATATTGTCCGATCCTAACAAACCATACATCAATGGAAAGATTATTTATTCAGCTTTCAGCTTATGCATAAATCTCAATTTCGAAAAATTGACCCTTATGACTGGTTTTCTGCTCCAGGGTCACATATATGCAATATACCGCAGATCCCTAAATAACAAGACCAATATTATATACTCTTAAGACTTTTGATACGCAGACTAAATAAAAATAACCCGAGATATGCTTCTGAGTCACATGGAGTGAGAACTAGTAATAAATCGTGTTTGTTTCAGAGACTGTATCTTCTGAACGCAGTGTTTTGATGATCTGGGACCCTTGTAGCCCGTGACTCAAGTGTGACTCGTTCGGTTCGGCGTTTCTCTCCTCATAATTACAGCTG